CACTGGGAGGTGCTGGAAGGTCTCCCCGGAGCCTTCTCTTCTCCAGGCTGCACACCCCCAGCTCTCTCAGCCTGTCTGACATCCCCCAGCGTGCAGTTACCCCTCACCCATCCCATGATGATCTGGTTTCTTCACGGGATGAACAGCAACTTTACATGCTCTTTAAGTATAAGGATGCCTGAAACCAAGAGGTTTTCCTTAGGAAGACCTTCCAGACCGTGACCCACCTCCCTGGGAGTTGACCCGAGGGCAGCAGAAATTATCTGTGTGTCCTGCTGCTCACCCTGCTCTGCACCAGCACCAGCTCAGGAGCCCGGAGCCAGCAGCACGGAGCAGGGGGACATGCCGGTGGCAGGGACACGGCTGCAGCCACACAAAAGTGTTGAGGGTCCTGTCTTAGGGCAGCTGGGGCGCGTGATGGCGGAATAACTCTCCTGACCTGCTCGTCTCTCCTGCTTTAGCTGAAAGAGCTGTACACACTTCTGAATGAGAACTACGTGGAGGATGATGACAACATGTTCCGCTTCGATTACTCCCCTGAGTTCCTGCTGTGGTGAGTGGCACCATGACCATGGAGCAGAGGGTGGTGGATGCTGGCAAGGCTGATCCCGGTGACAGCGCTGCAGCTGCCTTAGCTTATCCCCTCTCACTTCTTTCCAAAATCTCCCTTCCCCATCTGTCACCGTGTGTGGTGTCCCAGGGGCACTGCCTGCTGCTGGCTTCTTGGAGATACAGGAGCCTAAAACCAGAAACCAAACCTAACCTGAAATCAAACCTACCTAAAACCAAACCTAAAATCTTTGGGTTGATTCCTTGAGTGTTTGTAAAATCCTGGTCGCTGAGGAGCTTCCCGGTGCCCTGGAGCTGTGGGACGAAGGTGGCGCGCCCAGGTCCCGCTGCCAGTACTAACACTTGGAGACCTGCTGCAGCAGAGCTGCTGTTTCCTCAGGGCGTTCATGAGTTGAGGAACACAACTTTCCTCCTGTGTCACTACCAAGATCTTGTGCCTTGTGGCCACCAGGTGCAGGAATTGCCCTGGTCCTGCCTTGTCACATCAGTCACCTCCCATCCTCCTGCCTGCAAACCCACAGCTGTGTGGGGCAGTTGGAGCAGGACACGGGGGGTCTCAGGGCAGCGTGGGGAGGCGGGAGCAGGTACACGGGGGACATTTGATGGGATGTGACCTCTGAAGCCTGTCTCCTCTCCAGGGCACTGCGTCCTCCGGGCTGGCTGCCGCAGTGGCACTGTGGAGTCCGGGTTGTCTCCAGCAAGAAGCTGGTTGGATTTATCAGCGCGATTCCAGCCACTATCCACATCTACGACACGTGAGTGCTGCTCGGCTGCGTTTCTCACCCTGCCCCTCGATGGTGCGTGGGGCTTCCTGGGAGGGCTCGGGAGGTCTGGCTGCATTGTCCTCCCCAACCGAGGGAGCCAGACCTCCGCTGTTCGGCCATGGAGGTGCTCTGCTGCTTGGAGGGGAGGCTGGGGGATGTTTAAAGTGAGCTGTGAGGTTCTGTGCAAGGATATCCCGTAGTTGGCAGCCTTGAAGGCTGTTTCCCTCCCTGAGTGAGCTCAGCTTAGAGCTCTGGCTTACAGAAACCCTCCAGAGCTGGATGGAGACTGTTTTCCCTGGGAAAACCTTGGGGAGCAGCTTAAAGGAGACTTCTCCAAACCCAGCCCTTGCGCCTTGGCCTTTCCCGAGGCTTTGATTCCTCCTTCTCTTGAAGGGGCTGGAGGTGGATTGCTCAGGGCGTTGGAGCGATCCTCCCAGGTCAGAACAGTCAGGTCTCATGCTCTGCATTGTTTCTTTCCCAAGAGAGAAGAAGATGGTAGAGATAAATTTCCTGTGCGTCCACAAGAAGTTACGCTCCAAACGGGTGGCTCCAGTTCTGATCCGCGAGATCACGCGGCGGGTTCATCTGGAGGGGATCTTTCAGGCTGTTTACACAGCGGGAGTGGTGCTGCCAAAGCCTGTGGGGACTTGCAGGTGAGTATCAACGGTTCTCCAAAGAGATTTTTGCTCTGCCAGGGTCCTCTCTGTGGCATGGAGCGTGTGTGGGATTCCCCAGGACAGGAGAGATAAGTTCCAGCCCAGGTTTCTCCTCCCCACACCGTCCTTCCAGGATTAAATCCAGTGGCTTTGCTTAAGCAGCTCACATAGCACAAGACAGGAGACTTTTTGCAGCACAAGCGCTTCAGGCCGCCAGTGTTTTCCTCTGCGGGAGCTGCTGCCCTCTTGGCAAGCCGGCGGGACGTTCTCGCTTGCCCTCTCATGGCAGCTACGAGAACCTTGTGCCCGTGCAGCTGTCCTGCTGCCCCAGAACAAGTCTCCCAGCACGAGTGTGTTTCTGCAGGTACTGGCACCGGTCCCTGAATCCTCGGAAACTCATCGAGGTCAAATTTTCCCACCTGAGCAGGAACATGACTATGCAACGCACCATGAAGCTTTACCGGTTGCCCGAGGTGGGTGTCAGCTGGGGTTGAGAGAGGCAGAGCTCACAAATTGCTCCTCGCTGAGCAAGGGGCGAGGCTGGCAACTGGAGACACAAACATCTCAGCTGAGGTCAAGTCCTCTGCCTGCAGAGCTGGGGTTTGGTTCATGTAGTAAATGACTCTGTCAAGCCATTGTGCTTTTATTTAATCTGGATTTATTTTTGCCTGGGTACCTGCATTTTAAGGGCGAATTCGTGCAGCTAGAGGAGCCTGTGAGCTTTTGTTTCATGGTGAGTCACATCCCGTCCTCCTGGTAAAACGGGAATGCAGATACCACAGCCTTCGTCTGGCCAAACACAGCCTCTGAGTGACCTTGAGTTGGGTCAGTCCCTCGTTCTTCAGTCAAAGCGATCAGTTCTGTCTCTGTGCTTGTCCTGCTGGGGAAGTTCCCCAGATGGATATGGGAGAAAAAAAAACAAACAAAACATGAAAATTGCCACCACCTTCCCCGACCTTGTTGGCTTCCTCTTGTCAGCCAGAGCTGCTCGTTTTGGTTGGCGAGCGCTGCTTTAGCTCTGGGCAACGCATGGCTCCTGCCTCCTGCTGCAGCAAAGGCTCCAGCTGCTGTTTCATCGCTACCAATTTTTTGCACAGAAACCCAGCCCCAGAAGCAGTCTGTGCTGCTCGGTCTGGGCTTTGCTTGAACGATCCCAAGCCTAGATCAGAAATCGAGTCCAACTGAAAATTAAAAAAATCATCAGATGGTTCATTGCAGTTCCCTGTGGTGCCCGGGGCGCGTCTCCCAGCCCGTCCCCACCGCGCGTGGGAGCAGAGACGCGGAGGGAAGCCGCTGTTGTCTTTGCCATCAGTGTCATGGCCGGTCGCATCCATCCTTCTGCCAGACGAGCAGGGCTGGGGGGAAAGCGCTGGGTCGTGGGGTTGAAAATGGGCTGATCTAAGCAGAGAGCATCTCTGTGACGCTTGTCGGAGAGCCTGCGGGTGACAGAAGCCGCTGTGCAAGCAACACAAATGATCTTTCTCATTTTCTGTAGACTCCCAAGACCCCTGGCTTGCGGCCGATGGAGCACAGAGACATCTCCGCAGTGCACAAGCTCTTGACCGAGTACCTGAAGCAGTTCCACCTGACGCCCGTCATGAGCCGCGAGGAGGTGGAGCACTGGTTCCTACCTCAGGAGAACATCATCGACACCTTCGTGGTGGAGGTGAGGGGGCCGGAGCAGGACGGAGGGGGTGTTTTCCTGGATTTCTCCCTCTGTTGGAAGAGGGTGCGGTGAGCTGTGGGAGCGATCGGGGAGGTCTCTGCCCCGGGGAGTGAGCTGCTCTGCCAGGGTGGGAGGTTGGATCTGCTGGAGGACGGTGCTTCTCCATGCTGGGGTGCCCCAAGTCTCCTCACAGGGAGCCCACGCATTGCTCAGACTGCCAGAACCCCCTAAGCTGGGCTTTATCCTGGCTCTGATGTCTTGTGGTGTCACTTGTGGCTTCCAGAGCGCCCCAGGAGAGGTGACAGACTTCCTGAGCTTCTACACGCTGCCCTCCACCATCATGAACCACCCGACTCACAAGAGCCTGAAAGCTGCTTACTCCTTCTACAATGTTCACACCAAGACACCGCTCATCGACCTCATGAGCGATGCGCTCATACTTGCCAAGTCGGTGAGCAACGGCAGGGCTGGGGCGGCACCACGGGGCACTGGGCAGCTCACCAGGCACCAGGCAGCTCCCCTCTTGCCTGGCCGCCCTTGGATTTTTGGGGAGGGCCAGCCATGGGGCTGGGCTTGTACCCAGGGCTCTAAAACCCAAATCCCGAAGGATCTGCTGCCCGGGAGAGGGATGCAGGGGTGGACTGAACCTTCCAGCTAGTGGTGAGCTGAGCTCAGGGTGTCTACTTATTTCTTACAGCGAAAAATATTGTCCTGTGTCCGTAGCGCTTGAATTGAGGGTGGGTACATGATGCTAAGTTCTTCCCTGGTGATCTCGGCCCCTTCTGGGGGTGCAGAGTGGGGCAGGAGAGGGGGCCAGCAGCTCCCGGGTGGGAGGAATTCCCCAGCGGATAAGCGGGAGGAGCTGACGGCTTTGTGTCTTCCCCGTGCAGAAAGGATTCGACGTCTTCAATGCACTGGATCTCATGGAAAACAAAACCTTCCTGGAGAAGCTGAAGTTTGGGATCGGGGACGGGAACCTGCAGTATTACCTGTACAATTGGAAGTGTCCCAGCATGGCACCAGAGAAGGTCAGTGCCTGGGGACGGGGACGGGTCCTCCAGCCTGGCCAGCGCACGGGATGATGAGTTCCCCACAGCCCCCAGGATGATGAGTTTGCTGTCACGCACGCCTCGGCGTTCCCCGGCCAGCCGCTGTCCGGTGCGGTGTTAACCCACAGTAATGGGTGAATCTGGTGACAGGTCCTCTGTCCCCCAGGGGACAGCACTCATCACTTGTCCCCCCTGGGTCCTTTTCCTTCTGGACTGGTGCAGGTGCAGAGTCCTTGACCTCATGCATCCGCACGGACGAGCTCTTCCTTCCGTGGGAGGAGGCCGGGTACAGAGAGGGGACAGGCTGCAGGGTGACAGATGTGACACCGGTGGTTGTAACAGTCACCTGGGAGGTGGTTGCTGTGCCCTGTGAGCCCGCACAGGACCCAGGTGCCACGGCGCAGCCCCGTAGCCTGTGTCTCAGCCTGTCAGGGTGGGACAAGACGAAAAACAAACCTGGAGAGAGGACAGACGAGTCTGAGAGCTGTTGGGTCTCTGTTAGCAGGACCTGTGACGATGGGGACCTCTGCCAGCGTGGTCACTCGTAGCACATGCAGAGGGGCTGAGCCACAGGGTTGCAGGGGTGTCACCATGTCCCCACGGCCAGCAGCTCGCTCCTCGCTGTACCTGCAGCTGCAGACACCCTGTCTGCCTGCCCCTCGGCCGATTTTCAGCAGCACCCGGTCGCTGCTGTGTCTCCACGCTGAAGATGTGGTTCAGCGTCTGTCCCGTCCGCAGCCACCTCGGAGAGGACGGTGCTGGAGAACCAGAAGCTGCCCAGCTGCACAACAGCTAATTAATGCCTTAATGGCAGTAACGAGGCTTTGGTTCCCTTCTCAGTGCGTGCAGAGCCAGGTCTGTCCGTGGGTTCAAGCCCACGTGCCTCAAACCAGCCTCGCTCTGCCGCTGAGCCTTTCGGAAAGCCCCAGGAGTTTCAGTGATCCCTCTTCTCGCTGGGAGAGCTGGTGGGTTGGAGAGCCGGGTGCTGGGGCCGCTCTCCCGCCATACCTTGCCGTGGGGCTGCCCGTGGCCTC